GGACGCACTTTTAATCGGACAGTATGGCGCTGATTTCTGAAGTTCCGCAGTGCGGATACGAGTCTTGAAGATCAATGGACGTTCATCTGCAATTGATATTCATCATCTGAAAGATTGTATCTATTGTAAGAAAGAAGAGAAAAAGATAGAAAGAGTGAAGAGAGAGAGAGAGAGAGAGAGACGTGGAGAAATGAAAGAGAAAGACAATTACAGAAATGTCTTAGCAGAAAGCACCATGTTGATTCTTAGCAGACGAGAAGAGAGAACAATGCATTGAGGAAAGATAAGTTCCTGATCTGAAGAATTCGATTGAGAATCGCCACAGGTAAGAACCGTTTTATGAGGACTAAAGACTCAATTTAAAATTGTTCACGTCAAAATGTCAGAGAAATGTCTCAGATAATTGGTGACGGCATTTCCACAATATTGGACCATTTCAAGAAAATTGGTAAGGTGAAGAAACTTGATAAATGGGTTCCACATAAACTCGGTGAAATCAAAGAGTTCGAAGTCTTGAATGGTGTTCTATGGTCCGTCTACGAAATCGGATATTCTATCTCTTGATCGAACAAGGACTTCGATGAGAAATGCTTCCGCTATGATGAGTGAGAGAACTAAATTCAACTCGGAATTAATTTCAACTTGGAACTAATTTCCACTCGGAACTAATTTCAACTCGGAATTAATTTCAACTAGGAATTGATTTCAACTCGGAACTAATTTCAACTAGGAATTGATTTCAACTCGGAACTAATTTCAACTCGGAACTAATTTCAACTCGGAACTAATTTCAACTCAGACTTAATTTCAAGTCGTAATTAATTTCCACTCGGAACTAATTTCACCGCCGAACTAATTTCAACTCGGAATTAATTTCAACTAGGGATTAATTTCAACTCGGAACTAATTTCACCTGGGATCTAATTTCAACTAGGAATTAATTTCAACGCGGAATTAATTTCAACTCGGAACTAATTTCAACTCCGGACGAATTTCACCTCCGAACTAATTTCAACTCGGAATTAAGTTCAACTAGGGTTTAATTTCAACTCGGAACTAATTTCATCTGGGATCTAATTTCAACTAGGAATTAATTTCAACGCGGAATTAATTTCAACTCGGAACTAATTTCAGTTAGAGATTAATTTCAACTCGGAATTAATTTCAACTAGGGATTAATTTCAACTCGGAACTAATTTCAACTAGGAACTAATTTCAACTCGGAATTAATTTCAACGCGGAATTAATTTCAACTCTTTCGGGACACTATGTGGAAGCGCCATTGCTGAAATGAATGAAATGCACATTTAGTTAAACAAAATGCGATCGGCATGGGTGGTTAACTGTCGGGGTCTAATTCTTGTACATGACAATCCTCAGCCACATTTTGCCAGGCTGACACTGTGGCACCTCAAAGGCTTGGTATACGTGATTCTGTCAAATCCACCATATTCCACTAATCTCTCAACCACTGACTACAACCTTTTCATGTATGTAAACCTTTAGAATTTAAACATATTGGCATAAATAACCTTATACAGTGTAACCCGGATATAAGAGAGTTGTCGGGACCGGAGAAGAAGTCACTTATATCCAGGGTCACACTGTAGTTCGAAGACAAAACTATAGATGTTCAGAATGTTTATATAAATTAATTCAGGAATAAAAATTGATTTTAAACTCAGACATTATTCTCCAAAGATCTTGGTATTTTTCAAATCTTAAATTTATTTTTTTACATTCTTCTCCGTCTGTTAATATGCCGGTGTATAAGGCGCAGTGTACTTATGTCCGTTCGACTGTTTTTCGATCAGGGGTTTTACGCATGCGCGTCGAATAAAAGTGAAAAGAAGTGAAACAGAAGTGAAAGAAAATAAGAAAAAAAGAAAGAAAGAGTAGGAAAAGGAAGAAAAAGAAACAAAGAAAGAAGAATGAAAGGCAAAAAATATATAAATAAATTATTTAATGAGAAAAATGGCAAGAAAAAGAAAGAATTATAATAAAACTAAATGAAAGAATGAAAGAGAGAAAAAGAAAGAAAGAAAGAATGAAAGAGTAGGGCAAGATAGAAAAAGTAAGAAAGAGAGAAATGAATAAGAAAGAAAGTAAGAAAGAAAGAAAGAAAGAAAGGGAGAAAGAGAGGGAGAAAGTTTAGAAGAGAAAGAAAGAGTAAAAAATAAATAAATAAACAAGTTAGAAAGAAAAAAGAAAGAGTAAAAAAGAAATAAAATGTATGAAAGAAATGAATAGGGTGGAAAGAAAGAATGAAAGAAACACAGAAAGAAGAAAGAGAGGGAGAAAGAGTAGAAAAAGAAAGAAAGAAAGAAAGGCATGAATAGGGTAGAAAGAAAGAAAGAAAAAAGAAAGAAAAAAAGAAAGAAGGAGAGGGAGAAAGAGAGGGAGAAAGTGTAGGAAAAAAAAGAAAGAGTTAAAAAAAGAAATAAACAGGTTAGAAAGAAAGAAAGAAAGAAAGAAAGAAAGAAAGAAAGAAAGAAAGAAAGAAAGAAAGAAAAGGAGAAAGTGTAGGAAAAGAAAGAAAGAGTTAAAAAAAGAAATAAATAAACAGGTTAGAAAGAAAGAAAGAAAGAAAGAAAGAAAGAAAGAAAGAAAGAAAGAAGAAAAGAAAGAAAAAAGAGAGAGAAAGGGAGAATGAATAGGAAAAGAAAGAAAAAGTAAGAAAGTCATGAATAGGGTAGAAAAAAGAAAGAATGAACGAAAGAAAGAAAAAGAAACAAAAAAATAAAGAAATAACAAAAAAACACCGACAAAGTCATAAAATAAGTGAGCGTTATTAAGAAAAACAACTTGAAATCCAAACCCTCAATTCTAACCGTTTCGACTTTACTGATTTCAAAATGTTTTACCAATTCTCCCTCCCTCTTTCTCTCTTTCTTTTTCCTTTCTTTTTCACTTTGCTTTTTCTCCCCCACCCAGCGTTCAAACGAATTCAGGGTTCATGACTGCAATAACGCGTCCATCAAAAGTAATACCGTTTGAAAAGAAACAGAAAATGTCTTTACAGATAAAAAGAATTCAAATCAGTCATTTGTTGCGAAGATCAAAAACTTTCGCTCCGTCGATAAATACAAGACCATTTTATCGACAGTAAAGCAATGAAGGTGCCAGTCAATTGAACAACGATTACCCCCTGTGTGTCTTTTTAAATGCTAAGCCACCAAAGTACAATTACATTATTGAAATTGTGTCGTTTGAAGCTAAGATCTTATTGTTCATTTTCGGCCATTGCCTTTATGCGTCTGGAAATTAATATTACGTCGGGCGTAAAAGGTTTGGGAGACGTATATTTAGTGGTCTATCTTCTTTCATGGCTCTCTACAACTTCTCATCTTTTGTAGCTCTATTCTGGTCCGATATACAATTGAACCTTTTGTTTTTTTTACAATTTGCTACGTTCTTCGTCTATTGTATTCTCCAAATCCTTCTACACATCTATTTCACTGTTGGGCACTTCGACCTGGTGTAATGGTTAACAAGCCACGCTAGATCAATTAAGAATGATTGAATAGTAAGTTTTGATCCTCACCTTGTGACTTCATCTAAGCTATGCTTAGAAGAATCATTAGGGCATTTCGATGTGATGTAATGGTTAACAAGCTTGTCTCGCTAGATCTCTTACGACTGAATAGTCAGTTTCAATCCTCCCTGAGTGCCCCACACTTCTGGCCTTGTGCAACATCTAAGCTACGCTTAGAAATATCATTAGAACACTTCAACGTGGTGTAATATTACAAGCTTGCTTCGCTAGATCAATTACGACTGAATAGTAAGTTTACTAGGAGCTCCATAAACTTTTCGGCCATTGTGCACTTAGAAAAATTACTCAGAGTATATCAACTTGATGTCTCTGTCCTTTTGCTTTCAAGAAAAAAAGTGAATTTAAAAAAATGAATAAAACTTTTTGGTCTTTCCAGATATAAAAATACCATACACATCAAAAAGGTTATTTTCCATTGTAAGAAATTGTTTACACAGGCTTTTTTTTATTGTTTGTGTAATTATTTCCCAGAGGGTTAAAGGTAGAGGGTTTGGTAATATTCTTTCAAAAAATATATTTAGTGATTATATTTTTTAGGAAGAAAATATATTAATGAATAGGAGATATTTTTTAAAATGTAGCCATGAATTAGAACTGGTAAAATTTAAAATGGAAATTCATTCCTCCTGTTACAAGATTTTTTGCTCTTAAAATTAAAAAAAAAATATATACTTTCAGACTTAAAAAATATTTTTAAAAATGTATTACTGGGAATTTTCCCCAAAATGTACTTGGTAATATTTTCAAAAATATAAAAAATATATTTTATTAATATATTTTTTAAAATGTATTACTGGTAATTTTTCCGCAAAATGTCCTCCTGTTAATATTTTCTTCAAAAATATATTGCTGGTAATATTTTTTAAAATGTATTACTGGTAATTTTTCCGCAAAATGTACTGCTGGTAATATTTTCTTCAAAAATATATTGCTGGTAATATTTTTTAAAATGTATTACTGGTAATTTTTTTTTTCCATAAAATGTAGTGCTGGTAATATTTTTTCAAAAATATATTGCTGGTAATATTTTTTTAAATATATTGCTGGTAATTTTTTCCCCCAAATGTACTTCTGGTAATATGTTTTTCCCAAAATGTATTGCTGCCAATATTTTTTTACACAAATGTATTGTTGGCAATAATTATTTCCTTCAAAAAATCATTGCTAGTAATAATCATAAAAAAGTATTTCTGGTATTTAAACCTATTTTTACACTTTCATAGATTGGAGGGGGGGGGCAAATATTTGCCGATAGCTGGGACCCTAACAGGTGCTACCACCCAGAGTCAGGATGGACCTGGGAACACCAGCAATTAAGAGGTGGTTACACGCTCCTCAAAAAACTCCTGATCAGAGGCCTTGCTGCTGGATGTAGTTTATCGTCTTACCCTGGACGCGGGTGTAGAAAGAGAGAAAAAATCTAAATGAAAATGGATTGTGGAAATTAAATAAAGAAAGAAAGCAAGAAAGAAAGAAAGAAAGAATGTAAAAGAAAAAATGGTGCAAAAAGAAAGAAAGAAGGAAAGAAAGAAAGAAAGAAAGAGAGAAAGAAAGAATGTAAAAGAGAAAGAGAAAAATAATGGTGCAAATATAAAGAAAGAAAGAAGGAAAGAAAGAAAGAAAGAAAGAAAGAAAAAAAGAAAGAAAGAATGTAAAAGTAAAAAGAAAAAAGAAAGAAAAAAGATTGATGCAAATGTAAAGAAAGAAAGAAAGAAATAAAGACAGAAAGAATGAAAGAAAGAAAGAATGTAAAAGAGAAAAGAAAAAGAGAAAAGAAATGAGAAAAAGAATGATGCAAATGTAAAAAAAGAAAGAAAAAAAGAATGTTAAAGAGAAAAGAAAAAGTGAAAAGAAAAAGAGAAAAAGAATGGTACAAATGTAAAGAAAGAAAGAAAGAAGGGAAGAAAGAAAGAAACAAAGAAAGAAAGAAAGAAAAAGAAATGGGAATAAAAAAATTGTAAATATTCAAAAGCTTAAACAAAAGAATGAAAGAAAAGGAGGCAAAATAAAATAGAAAAGATAGACAAAGAAAAAAATTAGAAATAAATCTAATAGCTAAAAAGACGGAAAGGCAGAATGACGAAAACGTTTTGCAAATCATTCCAACAATGAAAAAAAAGAAAGATAAAAAGAAGAAAAGAAAGAAGAAATATGAAAGAATAAAAAAAAAAAATGAAGAAAAAATTATAAACAAATCCCGAGTCAACACGGGAGGATGAATAAAAAATAACGAAATATGCAATTTACAGGAAAATGACATTCACACTTTGGCCCGAAGAAATGCGAATGAAAAAATGTTCACCACTCAATAATTACAACCTACAAAATAGAAGCGCGCGCGCACGCGCAAAAACACACACACACACACTCTCACACACACACACACACACACACACACACACACATATATATATATATATATATATATATATATATATATATATATAAAAGTAACCTGCATATAAGAGAGAGTTGTCGGGATCGGAGAAGTCTCTTATATCCGGGTTTCTCTTATATCCGTGTTTGGTCTATTTTAAATACATTAACACAGGCTCTAATTTGGGACCAGAGAAAATCTCTCTTATATCCGGGTTTCTCTTATATTTGGGTTAAACTATATATATATATATATATATATATATATATATATATATATAAACATCTTTAAATGTAATATCCTATAATAAAGAATACTGCTCTACTGTTGGATTGTATTGAGTCCTATTTTAAATTGATGTTATGAACGTTTGAATTTATATTCGACTCGTCCTCACTTATATATATATATATATATATATATATATATATATATATATATATATATATGGTGGACTTTCCCGTTGTATTTGACGCATGAAGCTCAAGCATCTCAGTTCCTAGGAACACCAGCAAATATGATTTGATTATAGTGGTGCAGAACCGTTTTTGAAGGGCCGAATACACAGACCTGGTGCACTACGTGCCACAAGGTCCCCAAACGACACACCACAGATTTTAAATTCAGAGTTGTCCTTCTCCTAGACCAATGATGGCCATCCTAGGCTATAGAACCCAGTCTGTCTTGCTATTTACCCATAACTGGAGAGAGAAGAGGATTCATACCTTTTCCCAAGGCTATTAGAACGTAAGTGAATGTAATGGTTTCCTCAGTCCGAGCCACTACTCCACCGTAGCTCCTCTCTCCCCGTCCTCTCTCTCTCTCTCTCTATATATATATATATATATATATATATATTCTATCTTTTACATAATTTTGTTAAAACAAAACTACATGTTCTTTTCGATTCATAACCTCTCCCCCTCTCTCTTTGCCGTAACACTCATTTGGATATATCGGTATTACTGTCGTCTGTCTCCTCTCTCTTTTTTCTTTTTCTTTTCTCCCCTCCCATTCCTACATATCATTTCCGTTAAGTTAATCATCTAAATAGGTCAAGGTTCAGTCACTCCTCCTACCCCAATATAAAGCATGCTTAAGAGAGATATGAAATTAACCCCTCCCTATACTCTACCTTGTCTCTTTACATACCACCCTCACCCCCCTGTTAAATTACAAAAATTACACTACCCATCAATTTCTAATCCCATTTTTCCTTTCATTTCGTTGTTGGAATTGTTACCTGATGAACCGGAGTCCTTTAAAAAGGAATTTAGTGAAATAAATTATTGTAATGGCACCCTAAAGTGGTCTGTTTTTCATTAAATATATATATATATATATATATATATATATATATATATATATATAGAGAGAGAGAGAAGAGAGAGAGAGAGAGATAGGTAGATAGAGAGGGGGAATAAAGTATAAAAAATATAAAGTTTGTTACCTGGCTGACTGGTGTTACCTTCCACATCCCTACACTAGAGTTTCGTAGACGAACGCTCCACCAATCATTCCGTCTGGGGATCATAAAGTCTTCTTGACAATATCCAGACTGTTTGTATTTATTTGCAATTTTTTTAATCATTTCACCCCAAGCCTGGCGACAATTGTAAGGGGTTACTTGGAGTGAAAGGGGATGAGAAGACTTTAGTTTGGAGAGAGGACGATAAAAGTTCGAGAAGGCAGAATATGGCGATTGACGTTGCATTTCAATTTTTGAAGATCGAGTTTTGCCGGGAAGCAAGAAAAGAAACTCTTAGTAAGTAAGACGATACCAGTGGTGTAGATCAACCTCGTCTCTTCCTCCTACACTGGTTGCCATCCAAGACTATAGGACATAGTCTATCCTGCTATTTGCCCATAGCTGGGTAGTAGAAGAGATGGATTTACACCTTCCACAAGAGTATTAAATCGCAAGTGAATCTAAAGAACCCAACTTGATTTCGAACTCGTTTCACGATTTATCAATCCGAACCGCTATTTCCCGACTGTGAACCAAACGCTCTAAGCCGTGTATTGAGCTGTAAATACAGCATACATTAAAACAATAAAAGCGTATATACGACAGAAATTATTAAGAGGATTTGAGATTATCATAATTAAGTAATTCATCGTGTCTAGAAGAAACCTCAACAGAATGTAGAAAGCACTGGACGGCCGTTTCGTCCTATATTTGGGACTCATCAGCAGTGCGCATCCACTACTGAGAATTAGAAGCCGGTACAAGCAAGGATATACAAGTGATAGAAATTATTAGAAGGATTTGAGATTTAAAACTTTATAAATTATTCTAAAATTTAAAAAAATGGAAACAGTTCTTGTAAATATTCACTAAAAAAATTTTTTTTATTAAAAAATGTAATTAAAAGATTTTCTAATTAAATAATATCTTAGTATCATTGCATGATTTTATAATTTATAGCAGGTTTTTGATAACTGGGACTCCTGTCTTATATTAAAAAAAAAATTAATTTAAATTCTACAAGGACTTAAGCTGTACAAAAATGAATTTAGAGGAAATTTCATTAAATTAAATAACTGATGTAAAAAGAGGTATTTTACAAAGTGCTGTAGCATATCTACGGACGATAATGTCCCAATTCATATAAATACAGTAGTAAATACTGTATGTTGGTCTGTAGTTGCAGATTCGTCTTCAGCTCTGCTGGTCAAACTTTCTACCTCCGGGCAGAGAGGAACCTCAACATGGGCAAGGGCTGATCCTCTTCCCTTCCCCATGCTATGTCGTAGGGCAGAGTCTCGTCCCCAGACGATGCTATGTCGCAGGGCAGAGTCTCGTCCCCAGGCGATGCTATGTCGCAGGGCAGAGTCTGGTCCCCAGACGATGCGATGTCGAAGGGCAGAGTCTCGTTTCGGGAAACAGCTACGGGCTCTGATACCCGACATTAAATTCGGCCTTGTGACACATTTGACCGCGTGGGGGCGGTTGGTAGACGTCCTGCAGTTAGAGATTCGTCTTCAGCTGTGCTGGTGAAACTCTTTACCTCCTGGCATGGGGAATGGCTTATTCTCTTCCCTTCCCCATGCTATGCCAAAGGGATAATTCTCGTCCCCATAGGAGGCTATGTGAAAGGGCAAAGTCTCGTTCCCAGACGAGGCTATGTCGAAGGGCAGAGTCTCACTCTAGACGAGGCTATGTTGAAGGGCAGAGTCTCGTCGGCAGACGAGGCTATTTCAAAGGGCAGAGTCTCGTTTCAGGAAACAGCTACGGGCTCGGATACCCGACATTAAATTCGGTTGGTAGATGTCCTACAGTTGGAGATTTGCCTCCAGCTGTGCTGGTCAAACTCTTTGCCTCCAGGCAGAGTGTCCCTAGACGAGGCTACGTCGAAGGGCAGAGTCTCGTATCGGGAAACAGCTACCCGACCCCGTTTTATACAGGGTCTACGGAGAATTTTTGGCTTGGATAACCCACATTAAATTCGGCCTTGTGTCACATCTGACGTGGAGCGGTTTTTAGATATCCTGTAGTTGGAGATTCGTTGTGGACTCATTTCTAACAGGTGACTCTTTTTATTAAGATTGGGTTATTTTTTCATCATGTAAGCTCATTTTTATAGACATTTGGAGGTACTCACACACACACACACACACACACACACACACACACATACATATATATATATATATATATATATATATGAGAGTACAGGGTTGGTATAGATGGAATAAAATTCCGATAAGAAAAACCACTATTTTTAAGAAAGTGCTCAATACAAAGTAGAGCAAATAATATTTATTCAAAAATTATAATATATAATAATAGTATATAATGATGTTATAACATGCTTCAGCAATGGTACCAAACATTCATACTCTGGCTCCCGTCTTCAAAGTCCATTCAAAACAATCAAGAGAACGATGAATAAATTTAAAAAGCGGGAACAGTAGAAAGGAAAACTGGATCAGGGGGTCACAAGTGAAAGAGGGATCATAATTTCAACTTAGAGCTAAACACATACTTATTGCTCAAAGTAGGGTCTAATAGGGACATAAAAACATCGGAGAATTCCAGTAAGATATCTTTAATCATTTCTAAGATACAACGGTTCAATGTTTAATCGAACAATTGCACAATTTTGCTGTCACACCGGTATATATATATATATATATACTATTTACATTATTCGGACTATTGTCTTTATCTTTGTCGCCATATATATTACAGCGTTTCGTTCATCACTGGATTTAACTAACGCCTTTATCCACTATGCCATGTGTCCTTGAGGACGCAGTGGATAAAGGAGTTAGTAAGATCAAATGACAGGACCCAAAGAGTGTGAGTTCAATACCCGGTTAAGGCAGCGGAGAACTTCAGAGGGAAATTAACAGGAGGTAATTGACAACTGACATCCATTAAACATGGCACATGGAACTAGAACAGTCTACACCAGTGAGCGCAATAAAGGGTTCAGTTCGACAATCCAACCACCTGAAGAAGGCCGGAGCGTACAATGGCCGAAACGCTGTAATAAATATGGCGACAAAAAATCTCATCTCAGAAATATATATATATATATATATATATATATATATATATATATATATATATATATAAAGTAGCTATGTTTAAGCAGCAAGTATTTATCCTAACAAGTTTGATTAGCTCTTTGGATCCAGTCACTTTTTGGGTCAATGAAATTTTCCACGGAGAATTAACTAAAACTAAAACATCCAAAAGAGGCATGACGCGTGGAATTAGAATAATTTATCCCCGTGGGTTAAAGAAAATGTTCTGTTCGAATTTTCACCAAATATTACCTGAAGAATGCCAGTGCATACAACGGTTGAAACAAATATATATATATATATATAGAGAGAGAGAGAGAGAGAGAGATAAATAGATAGATATTGAT